CTTAAAAAATCCCAAAAAAAAAAAAAAAAAAAAAAAAAAAGCCAATCCAAAAAAATGGCGTAAAAAAGAAAAAAGTAAAAATGTCCTCAGTAGCTCCAGCAACGACTTAGCACCAAGCCAATTACCGTTGACGACCTCAAAGCTCAGGAGGTTTAGGTCACCAGGTCCGCATCTAGCTGGCTGGTCATGTCGTGCGCGGTTTACGTTTATGTGTCTCGAGCTTGTCGACCCAGATAGAAGCGTCGGTTGGCCGGGACCGCGTGTGTCGCCGGCGTTAGCAGCCGCTATGGCGGCTGTAAGGGTTGCGCTGGTAAAGGGAGCGAAACCAGGTGAGAGAAGGATGAACGAGTGAACACGGTGCCACTGGGCCGGGGCTGCTGCCTGGTTGCGTCGCTCCATGTGAACCGGAACAAACAACCCGTGACACTTTTTGCGAGCGAGCCATGTCTGCGAGATCGCTCGGCCGGAGGATGAAGTCTGTGCTGGGGGTGGTTGGGGTGGTTGGGGTGGTTGGGAGGGTTCAGTGGGGTCAGTGGGAGAAATCGAATGGACTATGGGTGGGACGAAAGAGGATGACTTCAGCTGATATCAATGTACACATGACCAAGTGAGATGGTCTTGGGGCGCAGCTGTGTGCGCAAGTCGTCCTTGTGCAGCAAAGAGGGATGGAAGAGGCTGTCGGCAATAGAGGATGGACCAAGGAACGCTTAACAGAGTCCTGACATGTTCCTCCGGGCGAAATGCCCAGGAAGTCCTTTTCCCTCTGCCAGTGGCTGATATAAAAGTGAGACGATCTGCTGAAAACCCAACCTGATCCCTTCTTCCAGTTTCAGCCTTTATCCCCGCAGTCAAATAAAGACCGAACTATCCCTCAGGATCCCCGTGGATCCTCTTCTCGCGATAAACATAAATCTCTTATCCGTTACATACAAACATACCATAGACGCGGGACAATGAAAGTAGCCGAGATTCCAGGTGTTGTCTTTCTTTTTAAAATCCATCCGCCGTAAGTGCGAGTGAGACAGAGCCATCGCGACTCGAGTAAAAAAAATTTTGCAAAAGCTACCTCTTAACGGTGATTTCGAAGTGACTCGAGATACAAATTTTCGTTAAAATTTTTTCCGAAAAAAAAATTTTTTTTTTTCTAACACGTCACAAAACTGACGTTGAATCCGGACTGAATTTCCCACGTGTATATACACGGCACGTAGGATTACGTCTTCAAGGAATCAGGCCTACAGGCTGTGTGTTTGCTACTTGGGATCTCCCGATGTTCACTTATCAAGTGAGAAAGATGGATCAACGTTAGACTTGACGGAAATTGGATTCTCACAGGATCAGATGTCACCCTGGTATCGATGGTGGAAGAATACGGTGAACGTGAGGCTAGTCATGGCGACCGAATCATCCGGGAGCTCGGAGGTGTCTACGGTGGACCGAGAGAGAGACTCCCCTCATCCTCCAAGGTCCAGGACTCTAATCCAGGAGAAAAAGGATCAGGACCAGGACGAGAACAAAATATGAATCGGTCAGAGTTATTATTTTCCTAATCCTCTTATCAGTTAACTTTGGCTCGATTTATCGATAACGTGACGAATACCTTTCATCAGGCAGGACCAACCAACCCGAGGACGATCGCGATCGTTGTTACCGACGGATATTCAAAGTCAACGGAAATTCTCTCAACACCCACC